GGAGCAAGAGGCAGAACTGACGGTGTTCCCAATCCAGAGTATTGCCAGGAGCTGGGGGCTCTGGCAGGCAGCTGGAGCAGCGTTTTGAGCCTGTGTTTGCTCAAGCTCTTACATTTGTTTATAGAGGTTATTTTTGTTCCTGCTCTGGRCCCTGGGCAGAGGCACAAAAAGGGTCCCCCCTGACCCCACCTGCACCCCAGAACTGCTCTGGGGTCGGCACGGGGGGAGAGGGTGATGCTGAGACACGGACTGGGGCTGGGTGAGCCCCTGGAATGAGAGAAATTAAACCGAACATCGGGACCCCCTCTTTCCAAAGGGCTCAAACCGAGGGGGCTTCGGGCATTCCCAGCCTGGAAGGAGCTGAGGGATGGGTTAAGGGTCGGGAAGGGGCTGGAAGGGCGTTTCACGGTCTGGAATTCGCCTGAGGTGCCCTCCACGGGGGCTCCGGGGTTTATTGCACCGCTGAGATGCTCCAGGAGCCCTGCACCACCAAAACGCTTCTGGGTGAGCAGCTTTTATTCCATGTTCTTTTAAAAAAAAACCTAATTAAAATGACTGTTCGTGCTGCAGGTTTGGGCTAGTTTTCATTTTATTTTAATTTTTTTTTTCCCCCCAAGCAGCTCTGCCAGCAGGAGGCAGATCCTGACGTGTTGGATGGGGCTTGGAGCAACCTGATCTGTGGGGAACCATGTGAGCTTTAAGGTCCCTTCCCACCCAAACCGCTCTGGGATTTTAGGATGATCTAATATCTGTATACAACACTTCTATTGTAAAATATAATGGGATTTTAGAATTATCTAATATGTGTACATAACAGTTATATTCTAAAACATAATGAGATTTTAGAATTATTTAATATGTTAAATAAGGCTTCTATTCTAGTATATAATGGGATTTTAGGGTGATCTAATACGTGCATATAACACTTCTAATATATAATGGGATTTNGGATCATTCCAGCCTGGCACACACAATGCCGGGCTCATTCCAGCCTGGCACACACAATGCCAGGATCATTCCAGCCTGGCACACACAATGCCAGCTCTCATTCCAGCCTGGCACACACAATGCCAGCTCTCATTCCAGCCTGGCACACACAATGCCGGGATCATTCCAGCCTGGCACACACAATGCTGGGATCATTCCAGCTTTGCACACACAATGCCGGGATCATTCCAGCCTGGCACACACAATGCCAGCTCTCATTCCAGCCTGGCACAGGCAGCCCGCGGCGATTCCCGCACGATTCCGTCAAAGCCGCCCTTTCAATTCATTCACAGAGCTCCTCCCGCTCTGCCCCCATTTCCTGACCCATCCCCGGGTGCGACCACAAAGTGGGAGATTCTGGGGCGTTTATATCCATTTTCTTTGTGTCTCTTCCTTGTTTTCTGTGAAGTGATCTGGAAAATGCATTAATGGCTCAAACAGTACCCAAAAAGGGAATGTATAGGATGAGTTATAATTATAGGGGCAATAATTGTAATAATTATCATAGTAGGAGAAGAAAGTGAAGAAGATTAAAGAAGAAGGAGGAGAAGACGAAGGAGAAGGAAAAGAAAAATACTAAAAGAAGAAGGAAGAGAGGAAGAATAAGAAGGAAAAGAAAGATGAGGAGGAAAAGACAATTAAAGGAAGAAGAAGGAACAGAAGAAGAGGACAATGGAGGAAAACAGAAAGAAGAAGACGTGTCATTATCAACTTCTGTGCTGAAAAACCTCTGATCAAATCTGCCAGGGAAGAACGAAAAGAGTCTCTTCTCACTTCCTTAGATACTCCTGCTACCCTCCAGATATTTGGTTCAGGCTCTGGATTTCCATGATTTATCCCCATTTTTAAACCTGGGATGAACCGGGGGCTCAGGGGGCGGAATGCACCCGCAGAAGGGTTGTAGGAGGGTGGCGCTGCTCTGGGTGCCCCCAGACGCTAATTTTTGGGTGCCAAATGTCTGCAACCATCACACCTGTGCAGCCCAGCGAAACCTGGCCGGGTCCCAGGATTGGGAACTCACCCAAGGGAGCGGCAGGAAAACCCCTCGGAGCTGCTGCTGCCATCAAAGCTGTGACTTAAACCCGCCCTGACACCGAAAAAAGGGTGATTTACGCTTTGGTAAACTGAATCCCAGCCTCCCCTCCCCAGCCCGTGACTCCAGTCCAACTGGGGAAGGGTTGCTGGTGTCGAACTGGGTTTGCTGGGGGCGAATCAGACCCTCAATAGAAGCTCTGAAGGGGAGAGGGTCGGGCTGAGCTGCTGTGACCCCACAAACAGCGGGGTCTGGGTTGGGACAGCGAACAAGAGATTCACTGCAGCTTCCTCGGTGTGAGGAGGGCTGGAAAAACTGCGAAATGATGCTCGGCCACGCTCGGGGTGCTCTGAGCGGGGATGGAGCCGGCAGAGCCCAACTCCCCCAGCCCTCGGCATCACCCCCACCTTTCCCTGTGCCC